GAGCAAGACATACCCATCACCAGTCCGGAATTCTGGGTCGACGAAGAACTGTGTTCGGATGAAGTACTGCGAACCGTATTCTCTTCTGGTACCGACGAGGAGATCCCCATGTTCGAGCAAAGGATGCGATGTCTAAGAGAAGCAGGCCAAATCCTAGAGGAGGTGTGTTTATGATGCACCACCAACACAGAAGAGCAAGTTGACTTATGACTGACGTTGCAGGAATTTGACGGTAGTGTCGTCACAGTTATTGAAGACGCGAACAACTCCGCTGCCGCCCTTGTGAATCTACTCGCCGAAAAGTTCAACTGTTTCAGAGATGAAGGTAGGTTCGAGAATAAGAAGGTGCGCTTCTTGAAGCGAGCCCAAATCTTCGTGGCAGATCTGTGGGCTGCGTTCGATGGCGAGGGATATGGCGAGTTCAACGACATCGACAAGATCACAATGTTTGCAGGTAAGACATCTCTGCCTCTGGCACAATTTATATTCCAGCTGACTGATACATCTGCAGATTACCGCATTCCTCAAATGCTACACTCACTAGGTATTATCTGGTACTGCCCGCCTCTCGAGAACAAGGTACGCCGCCTTGAGACCATCGAGTCTGGCCACTCCTGGGAGATGCAGATCCGAGGTTGTAGTATCTGGGCTGTAGAGCTTCTCCGCAAGGAGATTCTGAAGCTGAAACCAGACGCCAAGGTCAACGCTATTCTCATCGACTTCTTCCTGTATGATCTTGCGAAGGAGAGGGAGAAGGAGGAGGCGGACGTCATACCACACCATCGCACGAGAAGCATATGGTATTGAGAGCCAAGAACAGCGGGGCACCTGAAACCGAAACATAACTTTGGGCGCCCTATTGCTTCCCGATCGGTGAGAATTAGTAGTTGGTCACTTCGTGGAGAGTTCAGAGGCGGTGGGGTCGCTTCGAGCATTCGCCACTTCCAAGTTTTCGCAACTTCCAGAGACAACGCACATCTCAGTTGTCGCATAACGGCACAACACCAACCGCTGGATTCGCTCTCATGTCTTGTCCGCGCGACAGGCTGAGGCTGGGGCATGCAACGTTTTCTTGGCACCGTTACGCCTTCCCAGTTATCGTTAGACGCCTATGGTAAGGCTGGCCATTCAACCCCCGCAACGGCCTTACCTAACCCTGGTCTCCAGTATTCGTAGACAGATTACGATCATACTGGTGATCATTATAGCACGGATGAAGCCGCCGGTCACACATTTTCAGTAAAGCAGGGGTTTGACAACCGGGCCTATTTGCCAATTTCGGTGATTCGGGCGGGTGTTTGCACGATAGCAGCGCAACGATGAGCACGTGTGATCCACACTCTATGTCAGCAGTTCTCTTGAAATATCTAGGCACTTGGCCATCTGTCTAAGAAATTTCATTTTCGACCGACTCTCGCTTCATTCATTATTTTCATTTCGTAAGGTTCCGTTAGCGGCCTAGCTAAGGAGCAGGTGAGAGTGGTGGCTTAACTCATTCACATTTATGTACAAGTGATCACCTGGCAAACACTCGCTTTGTTAACATTCGAACCGGAGTCCAGTTCTGCCAGCAGCAGCTCCTCTGACCAGAGCGCCTCCCACTGAACGATGGGAAACCAACAAAGTTCCGCCGTCCAGCAGTGTCTGGAGCAAGCTATCGGAAAGGATCATGTCGCCTTCAAGAACACACCACTCTACCAGATCTCACACGTCAAGCCCTACAACCTCGGTGTTCCGGTGACACCAGCGGCGGTTACCTACCCCAAGACGGCCGACGAGGTCTCCGCGATTGTAAAATGCGCAGTCGACAATAGCCTCAAAGTTCAGCCACGATGTGGTGGACATTCATACGCCAACTACGGTATCGGAGGTCAAGACAACACCATTGTAGTCGACATGAAGAACTTCCAGCAATTCTCCATGGACAAGTCTACCTGGCAGGCCACAATCGGTGGCGGTACGCTCCTTCGCGACGTCACTGAGCGACTACACGACAACGGTAAACGCGCCATAGCCCATGGAACTTGTCCACAAGTCGGAATTGGAGGTCATGCAACGATAGGTGGCCTGGGACCGACTTCACGCATGTGGGGCTCCACTCTCGATCACGTAGAAGAGGTGGAAGTAGTCTTGGCAAATTCGACAGTAGTGCGTGCTTCCGAGAAGCAAAACCAAGATATCTTTTTCGCGACAAAGGGCGCTGCAGCCGGTTTCGGCATAGTCACAGAGTTCAAGATGCGCACGCAGGCCGAGCCCGGCGAAGCAGTCCTCTACTCTTACAACTTCCACGGCGGCTCGTCTGCATCAAAGGCTGAAGCGTTCAAGCAGTGGCAGAAGCTCATATCGGACCCGACCCTGTCCAGGAAGTTCGCGAGCCAGTACATTCTCACCGAACAGCTCGGCGCCATCATCACAGGCACCTTCTTCGGCAGCCAAGCCGAATTCGACAGTCTGAACATCACATCTCGTCTCCCAACTGGTTCGGCTCTGGAATCGATAGAGCTCAAAGACTGGTTGGGTGTAGTAGGCCACTGGAGCGAAGACATCGCTTTAGAGATTGTTGGCGGAATACCATCCAACTTCTACGCGAAATCCCTTTCGTACACGGAAAAAGATATCATACCCGACGAGACCATCGACAAGTTGTTCAAGTACATCGACGAAACAGACAAAGGCGGTGCACTGTGGTTTATCATCTGGGATCTTGAAGGTGGCGCTATCAACGACGTTGCGCCTGATGCTACAGCGTATGGTCATCGTGATGCGCTGTTCTACCATCAGGCTTATGCTGTTAACCTCTTTGGCAAGGTCAGTCCCCATCCCATCTCAAATAGTCTAGCAAGCATACTTACATCACCACAGGTGAACGACAAAACCCGCAATTTCCTCAACGGCTTGAACAACGTCGTTCTCGATGCGCTGCCCAACCACAACCAAGGAGCGTATGCTGGATATGTGGGTAAGTTCTGACTGTACGAAGTGCATGTGAGACATATACTGACTTCGTACCTCTACCTCTGCAGATCCTGCACTGGGTGAGAACAGCGCGAGTCTGTATTGGGGTGGTAATGTCGAGAGGTTGGAGCGGATTAAGGCGGAGGTTGATCCGTTGGACGTGTTTCACAATCCGCAGAGTGTAAGGCCGGCGAAGAGATAGGTGGAGAAGAGGGTGCTGATTTAGATAGAGGGGTGTGGCTTGGTGATATGAATTTGCCTGGCCAGGAGGCTCGGCAACGGAATGATTCTTCTTCTCATAACAATTCTTTCCAAATTCTGTGCGACGATGTCGCGATTAGTATGGTAATCGTGTGCGATGACATGGATAATTCCCGACTTGACAGCTGTCTTTGGTCGAACTTGTCTGCGCTAATGCTTGAGATTGTACAGATACATGGCTGTAGGACTGGGCCATACCACATGTGTAACCCAACATAGCGCAGTTGTGACCGGTTGTCTCATGCGCAACGAAGGACATGAACTAACCTTCAATACATATTATGGGCTACGTCGTCAATCTGTTCTCCCCTTGCCGCCCCAACTCCAAAATATCTCCTATGATATATCTACTGCATTCGCTAGCCAATTACCTTCAACTCAAGATATCGGCAGCCGCCCTCGTTGCAGAAGCGGTGACTACTCAACAGTCAACAATGCCTAAAGGACACACCCGCTTCACGATGCGTGTTGGTGACGGGGTACCTAAGAAGCCTGTCGTACCCCATCGATGTTACCGCCGTGAAAGACTCGATCGAGAAAAGGAATTGAAGAGTAGGATCCGCTGTAACAGTCATGCTGAAGCATTGCGCGCTGTGGCGAACATTACTACTACTACTGCGTCTATTCCAGCCCGTTCTGACATGGCGAACGTTAGGGCATTGAGCATGTCTGTGGTCATCGTCGTTACAGCTGCGCTCTTCTAGATTTCCCGGGATAGATAGATTGGCGGAGCAGACGTTGAGTTGTGTTGAGTTGGGTCCTGACAATCGTTTCGCTGTCGCGGTTGCTGGCTGTGCGTGAATGAGACGGAGGCTGGCTCCTACATGGCTCCAGCGAGGATTTTCCGAGAACCTAGTTACGTTGATCAACAAAAGGCGCGTCTTTACTTCTTCTGAAAAGAGTTATTCGCATAACAGTTTGGATGGTCCTGATTTGGTGAACGGTGGCGTCGGTGCATCGGGACGCTGAAAGTAGCCACCTCTATAACGACTATGCGACTGCCTACAATGTTACAATTCACGTGTTTTGTTTGTCGGGGCTTCGTTTGCGATCGATGCTTCCTGCTGCAATTACCAGAGTTGTTGATGGAAATTTTGTGCTGCCTAGGGAATATGTGACTTGTCGAGGTGGCAAGGCTTGTCTGTGCGGTCATGCACTAAAGATTTTCGTCCCCAGCGCCGATGGACCCTTGCTTAATTTCCGCTACTCCTTCCATCGATATCATCAGAATCAAGTGCCGAGCTCACCTACATTGAGCGTATCTCTCCCCAAACTCCCAATTCCAGGCAATTGGTCATGGGCCGTTCGTTTATATGTTGACGTTGCGCCGGTACGCACCGTGTGGCGCGTGTCCTGTGGTCCAATCAGGATGTCGCGTACCAAACAGAGCACTTTGCTGACATACTCCAGTCGTTCCGTAGTATAGGCTGCGTGCTTCTGTCATGATGCCGCGGAAACCTTTCCTGGGATTGAGGCGTTTTCGTCATCATCTAAATTCAAAGCTCTTTGGCCGCCCCGACACATTCACAAACCATCTGAGGAGTTTCTTAGGCTACGATCGTCGGCCAGAAAACATGCAGAAACTTGGAAGGTTATTATCGGGGGGACGCAGCTCGTTACCTGAACATTTTGGTCGAAAAGCTCGTATACCCGACCTTTTTGATCGGAGAGATCAAGTTTACCTGGCGCTTGAGGCCCAGCGGTTGCATTGGCATATGCCCCCACCGTACGCCTATCATGATCTGCTTGACGCTGCAGCGAGAGTGGGCCGTATTGAAGGGATCATGGGCTACAAGTTCAAAGACAAGATGATCTGCATCGAAGCGCTCAAGACCACTTCGGCGACTACACCGCTTTATTTCAATGGGGTCATTCATCACATAGACAAAAACAACCGCCTGGCATTGCTAGGTGATCGAGTTATCTCTTTAGCTCTATGCGATGTTTGGTTCAAGACAGGAAATACCAATGGTATGTACTGCATATAGCTCTGGTGCTTAAGCTAATACAGCGAATAGCGGAATACACTTCGATGCAGCCGGATATAGAAAGCAGAGTTGGTTTGGGTAAGAAAGGATACGCGCTCGGTATAAACGACAATCTGCTTCTTCACGAGCGGCACCCCTCCACATTCAATCACGTTGCCGAGGCCTTCGAAGCTGTTCTTGGTGCTATCTACTTGGACTCTGGGAACAACATCGAAACCGTCAAGGAAGTTATCACCGGAATCAAGCTCGATCGTCACAAGGGATTAGAAGAGCAGATTACGGCCCAGGATCGTCTGGACAATAAAAGGCTTGCGGCGCTGCAGTACTCTGATTATATGAGGAACCAAGCTGCGTACACTAAAAAAGCCCAGCTGGAGCATGATGCAGCACTGGCAGCGAAAGAAGCAGCAAAACTGGCGGAAAAACAGGTGGCAGATCAGCCTAGAGAGGAGGCGCAAGAAGACAATATGTCCACCAAAAGTCAAATACACGATGGACACTCGGGAACAGTTCAGCCTCAAACTAAGAAGAAGAGCAGCGTTGCGCTCACACATGCGGAGGCCTCGAAAAATCTGGCCGATTCCGTGATCGAATATCGCACGAATGGTCACCCGAGTGACGCAAAGGATCTGGGCCGACTTGGTAGACAAGACGCGCAACGCCAAAGTTCAGCCTCGAAGGAAAAAGCACCATCGCAGAATTCCAATCAGGGATCAGATTCAAAACTGCAACGACGCGCGGTCGTAGCTGCCAACAAGCTATCGAAAGAAGGCTACCTATCAAATGATGTCTTGGAACACGATGACAAGAAAACAGTCTCTAAACGCCAAGATTTGCCAACATCTCACGTCGAGAACCAGGACAAGGTAGTCACCCGAGGCACCAAACTATCGCCGGAGGAAGAAGCAGATGAGTTTGTCGCATCGATGAAATTTCCAGCAGAAATAGAATCATCTGAGGGCTTGAAAAGCAGTGAGAAACGCATCCTGAGAATATCATGGGACATGGCGGTACGAAAATGCGCCGACAGCATCAGAATTAGCGAGGAGAGAGACTTTGAGGGAACGTTTGCGCATAGGTTGAAGCGAATGGTACGGTACCAGGTAAATGCTGGTTTAGTAAAAAACGAAACGAAAGAAACGATTAGGCTTCTCCGCCTGTCAGCAAGGCTTCGAGGCCACAGCTGGGGAGAAAAACAGGAGAAGACATATCGCAAGACCAATTCAAAGGTTCCAATCAAACCTAGTCGAGAGACAACACAGGCACCGGTGAGTGTTTCACCAGAGCCGAAAGCTGCGACGGCAACGAAAGCAAAGCCTACACCACAAGAGACAGATCCTGCACTGGAAATAGTAGACCCTGTACTAGAGAAAGCAGAGCCCCTACTAGAGACTGGTATGAACAACGATAAGCCAGCCCAAAGACGCTCAGACTCGCCGAAGGAATCCCATCTTGCAGACGCAGCCACCACAGAGATGGAAGATGAAAAGAACATACAAGTGCGCACCAAGGATGTTGAATCACTAGAAAGAGATATTCTCAACTCGCATAACACCGTATGGCAAACGGCCGATACCGCAGATGCGTCAACATCAGAGCAGCACAGCGGACGCACAACTCCTGCACGCCGTTCTGCTGCGGATGGCCAGGCGGAGAAGCCATCTGCTCCAAACGAATTTTTCGAATCGGACACGGACAGGTTCATGTCGAGCATCACGCAAAACGATTCAGAAGCGTCCGACGCCCCTCAACCGAAACCTCATGAGGAATCTGACATGCAGTCTTCTGACTCTTCTAAGGAGCAAGGAGAATCTTCCGCCCCATCTGCAAGGGTAATAAAACAAAAACGTCCCAACCGAGCCACGCGTCGTCGATCACAACATTCATGATTGCTTTTGCTCCTGGCTACAGGTACGCCAGCTGCTTGTCTATTACCGTATATGCGTCGATGCATGTGTACAATACCTATAGTCCGAATGTATGATAACTCAGCGAGAGATACCTTTACAGCTGTATATCTATGTCTAGAAGAGTACGTGTATCATATTTGTCGCAATATCGAGATACAGAATGCGAATCTGCATTTACCCGCTTCCAGAGCCATTGACGTCTGCTTTTGAAGTCTTGCAGCCTGGCAAAGGCATCTATCTTGACCAATTTCACAGGAAATTAACGATTAGTGAGCTACTGAACATGTCGCCAAGCGTCAATACGAGTTGTTGTCGTCGGTTAAGTTGGCATCGCGTCTGTGCATTAGGCGGCAACCTCGAATGTGCTAACCTCTTCTCTACCAGCGGCACAGCGAGATGTCTACTAAAGTACCATGTTCGTCGCTCCAACCCTCAACGCAAGGAGTTTGCAGAAGTCGATTTCAACATGGCATCCCACAAGCGCCCACGACTTCCACCCGCCCGATTAGCCGCCATAATGAACGACTACTACACCTTCTTGACCACTCTCTACATACCATGTTCAGCTTTGAAACATCCGCCTCTGGGTGGTTGGCCGAACATTACTGCGGAGGCGACAAAGTGTCTGGACAAATCGCATGTTGTCATTGAGGTCATGAAGCATTTACCATACGTTGATGAGGCTGAGGCCGGCGAGATGATCACGAACATTCACTACAAGAGCGACGTAGTAGATTACTCCACATACACGAAAGAGGACTTCGAGCGCTATGATGTATCGTATGGAGAAGACGGGCTCAAAGTTTGCATTGAAGAGATGGAGGAGCGGAAAAGGGAAGAAGAAGAGCAGCAGGAGCAGGATGACGAGGAGGGTGAAGAGGAGAACAACGACACGAATGAAGATGAACAGAACAACAACAACAAGGATGAAGAAGACAGCGAAGACGAAGACACCAATAGCGCCGACGAGGATGCACCGCACGACGAAGGTTACTCTTCCGACGAAGAAGAAGACTACGGCGACGACCCCGACTCCGTCGACATAAAAGACATCCTCCTCCTATCCATGGGCTACGAATCCGGCGGTCGAATCCTCCTCCTCGACGTACACAAAGGCATCATCCACGAAGACATAGTTCGCTGCCAACTCGTCTCTGGCGTATGGATAGAAGACTTCTTCGACGATATGAAGGACAAGCTCCGGAGGCTGGATTGCGTACCCGTAAGAGGCGAGTTCTACGAGGGCGTGCCTGAGGTGGAGGATGTTGGACCGGTGCCTGAAACGGCGGATCCTTCGATGGAAGAGCACGACGAGGGGCATTTGAAGGTATACAAGAGGATTTATCGCATGTTTGGGTGGCCGGGGGAGGGTTATAGGAAGGATGAGGCGTTGGAAGCGTTGGAGAAGTATCGGGTGAGTGCTTGGGGTTATTGATGTGGAGGTTGTGATGAGGCATGGAGTTGATAGAATGAATCGGAGAAGGATACCATGAACGGGTTATCCTAACGTCGCATAACTGTAGCTGTCGCACTGATTACGGTAGCAACCGCGGTGATAACATAACGCCACGCATTCGTCCTCGCCCACGTCTCAGCAATGGTCTTCATATCCACTTTCTCAGCCCACTTCTTCGCGGCCTCACTCGCCGTATCTTTATCTGTACCCTGACCAACACCCTTCAAAACAACTCCCTCATCGCGCAATATCTCCTGAGCCTTCCACTTTCCCGCGCCATTCACTCCTGGCTCCATGTACAGGGCTGTGTACGGGATGATACTAGCATTTACAAGTCCTGCAACAGCGTACAGGAGCCTTGCGGAAGAAGATTGATCATTGCAAAGGTAAGCGAGGAGAATGTTACTTGAAGCGCCAGATATGATGAGAGGCGCGACGAAAATAGGTGCGAATTGGTAGGCTTGAAGCCATTGCTTTGCTAGGAGTTTTGGTGGGGCGTGCGTGATGAGGGGTGGCATGACGACATGACTGTATGCGAAAGTGAAGCCTACCAGACATAATCGTCAGTGGCTGTTTTGAACGATTTTGAGGCTAATATACCTGTGTATATGGCCGGGGCGATGGTAGCGATCGCTTGCAAGATGGGCACGACGAGGCTAGATGGATCGCTCATTGTGGATAGTTACAAGGTGATGGGTCCTGGTATGCGGTAGAAGCAGAACTTGGTTTGCAGGGTAATGTAGAAGCTGTCCGAAGTGATCTGTTCACGAGGCGTAGATATAGGCGCTTGGGGTACAGAGCTGACGTACTAGCGCGGTGTTTGGGATGCATCAGCATGCCTTAGCTGCATATTCTGGAACAACAGTAGAACGAACGAGATCTTCCAAGATCTACATGGGCTGAAGCATGTATTTATAGCATCGATATGATCTGCACCTAGGCTTTTGTGCAAAGACGATCATGTGGTTTTGCGCAGCCCTGTTGTGAAATCAGATAAGCCTTACTTGTACAGGTATACTACAACTGATCCAGCAATCCCAAGACCTCTTGCCTGAGTTCACTCAAACCAACATCCTTCTTGAACCCTAATCTCCGGCATTGCACCTCTAATTCTCTCCTGTCTGTCCAGCCTCTGCCTAACACAACGACGACAGGATATCCAATCAATTCTGCATCCTTCAATTTCCAACCTAAGCTCTTTGCTACTCGATCATCCAATACTAGATCCACATCTCCATACCGACCTTCACCATAGATCGCGTCGTACACTTCTGCCGCGTCGCTCTCATCAACCTTTGGAGATGTGAGGATGACGGCTTCATAGGGCGCTATCGCCCTTGGCCAGTTCAGCCCTTGAGCGTCTGAGAGGAGTGATGCGACAGCTCCGATGATGCGCGAAACGCCGATACCATGGCAGCCCATTTGTATTGGAGAAGAGAGGTTTTGGTCAGGCAGTGCAACGACTGCGTTGAGGGGCTTGCTGTAGCGGGTGCCGAGGTGGAAGGTGTGGCCTACTTCGATGGCTTTCTGGACGTCGAGTTTTCCGTCCGAGCAGCGAGGACATGGATCGCCAGTTCCGACGGGCGTGAGATTTAGTTTGGAAGACAGAGGATTTGAGAGTGACATATCGTTCTTATCAAAGGCAAGGGAGGAGTCGAAGAGGTCGATGGTATCTCTGCCCTTTCGGAGCAGAGAAGCGAGTGATGAGGATTCGATACCGGTGTCCAGCTCGATCTCCTCTGGAAGTGCTTTCTTGACAGCGTGAAGATTGACATGCTCATGTCTCTGTCTTACATCCGTCTCACTCTCGGATGGACGTGGTATCCACACGTTGATCTTTGTCTTTTGATCGACGCTTATACCTGTGTACGCCAGCCAGCTGTCGGTACATGACGCTACAGCTTGGCCGCTCTTTTCCACAAGCTCCTCGTTGGCGACGTAGTCGCATGAGTTGCAAGACCATACGTTGTCTTCGCCTTTGGGAGAAACAAAATGATACTCGTGGCTCAGTTTACCTCCCATGTTGCCAGAATCGGCATCGGCGACTAGGTACGGCAGTCTGAGCTCGTTGAATAAATTGTTGTATGCTTCCCGTACTTCTTCGTATGTCTTGAGCGCGGCTTCTGTTGAGTGGTCGAATGTGTATAGATCTTTCATCATGAACTCCTTAGCTCGTAACAGCCCTTGTCTTGGTCTTCGTTCGTCGCGGTATTTGCGTCCGATCTGATACAGCCTCTGTGGCAGATCCTTGTATGAATGTACCATACTGGCTACCAGTGCTGTGATCTCCTCTTCATGAGTTGGTGATAATAGAAAGCCAGACTCTCTTCTATCTTTGATGCGCAGGAGTTCCGAGTTCGCGGAGTAGCGACCAGACTGCCGCCATAATGATTCTGTAGTAATGGAAGAGAGCGATAGTTTTGAAGCACCAATCGAGCTCATGTGCTTGTCAATTAGCGCTTCAAGCTTATTCTGAACGCGTAAACCTAGGGGTAGAAGATGAAAGACTCCCGAATGTGCCTGCGCATGATGAGACAAGTGCTAAAAGTCAAGAGGTTGTAGATGTATACCTGACGGAGAAAGCCACCTCTAACGAGAAGAGAGTGAGACTCATCTGAAGAGTCGTTAGTCAATGTATGCTAGTCGCTCCGATGATCCTCACCTTGCACGCCGTCCTGGGGTGATATACCACCGGTTGGTGCCCAGAATTTGGATAATCGATTTCTTGGGTCGGTCTAAGCCAATCATCAGCGTTGCCATCTAAATCACGAACTTTATTGTGACAGCTTACAGCTATATATCTAGCATGTCGAAAGCCTTGTATTGGTGTTCGCTGGGTTCGCGATTGCCATGCAGCTCTACGAATATACGCCGCCATGCGCGCACCACAATGAAGATGTTCGATCAACTTCAAACAAAGAGCTCGGAGTCACACTGTAGATTTTAAGACGGAAAGGAAAGAGTGGAAATGTTGCATGTTCCGTAAGTGGTGCACAACAGCGGGAGATCTGCCTCCAACATGATGAGCACAGACCACCTCGAATCTCAAAGCGCATGGAAATATTTGGAGATCGAACCCACCTCTCAATTGCTCCACGACCACATCTCACGTAAGCATAGCGATTCCTATACTGAGACAGTATATCTTGGGAAGATACTAATCGACATCCAGCATGCCTCCACGGATACGCATCAGGCCACGCGCCCTCCGCGCCTGCACCTCGAACCCAACCCACCCCATCTCTCTACCCGCAATCGCAACCTACGCCACAGTAGCAGCGACCACCCCCGCACCGCCAATCCAGCAGACATACAAAGCCGCACCGCCAGTACTACGATACCCACCCACGCAACCACCCTCTCACAAGCCGCCGGAGGTCCGCAAAACCCAACTCCACCGCCAATACCAATCGCTGCTCCGATCCTCGCCTCTGATCCTGATATTCCAGCACAACAATGTCAAAGCGGTAGAATGGATGAGCATAAGACGGGAGCTAGCCATTGCCCTCCGCAAGCTGGATGCCGAGAGAGTGAAGAACGGGCAAGAGACGCTTGCAGAGGAGGTTAAGATGCAGGTCATCCAGACCAACATCTTCGCAAGCGCACTGCGCGTCGTCGAGTTCTTCAACCCGGAAACTTCGACAATGGATCATGCGCAACATCCTACGGACCCGCGGACACCGACGAGCGCGCAGATACCGAACACGAGTAATGACGCAGCGGATGAGCGCTTCACACACGGTCTGTCGAGACGGGCATATGAGATTGCGAACAACAGGAAGTTGAAGTTGGAATTGGAGCCTTTGCTCTCGGGGCCTCTTGCCGTTGTAGCGTTCCCTGATGTTGCGCCGCAATACCTCAAGACCGTTCTATCTATCCTCTCGCCTTCGAAGCCCGGATTCCCCGCTCCAAGCCGAAAAGCGAACCCGGACTACTACGAACCAGCAGTCCAAGCTGGTCTCCAGAAGCTGATGCTTTTGGGTGCGAGGGTAGAGGGCAAGGTCTTCGATGTGGACGGCACGAAGTGGGTTGGTGGCATTGCGGGAGGTATCGACGGTCTCCGCGCTCAGCTTGTACATATGCTGCAGGGTGTTGGTGGAAGTCTTACTGGTGCTTTGGAGGGCGCGAGCAAGAGTTTGTACTTTACTGTCGAGGGAAGGAGAATGGACATGGAGGAGAAGGAGAAAGACCCTGTTAAGGAAGATGAATCGTCTTAAAGTCAATTTGAGGTGTGTACGATACGATCGGCAAGGTTAAAGAATCTGATCTAGAGCTTCGCCGGTCTACATGGGTGTTACAATATGTATTGAACAAACAGTAGTTCCCAATCGGTTGGCGCCTCGATACCTGAGTCGCTGATCATTCCTGTAAACCCTAGGTCTATCCGCGATAGTGAATTCATCGTTGAATTTTGTTATCCTACTGTATCCTCTCTACAAAAATCGCACCTCTGATGGCCGCAACATGCACATTCGTATTGCCAAGAAGATATTGGTCCGTCGCCACAATCACTCTGTAACGATCAGCTCGGATCCGACAGAGTATGTGTAGGCGTCGACTCACGCAAAACCACACTATGTCGCCCCGTTTTCGGATATCAGGATGGCAGGCTCTGGGAGAGCAAATTGTTTCCTCGATTTTTCGATTTGATTTGTTCCATTTGTTCCAGTCTTGCGTATCGTGAAGATGGGATTTGCGGATTGGGTCTGCCTGTTGTAGTACAGACTAGTCAGCCCGCATCATGGGCAAAACAACATCTTGAACTAACCACGCAAGGCGAAGGGCAGTAGCAGGCACCGACATTCTCCCTCGCCATATCTGTAGCCAAAGATCCGTAAATGGTGTTGGTGGTGATGGACGGTTCGCGCCAGGCCTCGGGTCCGTACCTGCTGACTCTAACTGCCCGTAATCACGTATCGGGTAAGCGTGCCAATCAATCAGGCTGAGCATGCCACCGACCTCGATGCATGCACGTCGCCATACTATGGCTTTCCTACTGTCCTATGGGACTTCGCGATACTCAGCCTCGTCGCTCGCCCCGCGCATTATGATGACAGCGAGGTGCCCCGCTGGGATGGTTGTCATCTTCACAACCACTTTCTGGTGGACACCATCCAGACACTCCACACTCAGCACTAGAGCGAGAAGCTATGGATCATGACATCTATCAATCGAATGGCCCATGGGGGAAGTTCACACATCGACAAGAAAAGAAGCACCGTCCCGAAGATGATCTCAGGCTGTGTACTCCATGTCAAACAAGCGCTCAGATAATCGAAAGGTTTCTATCGCCTGGAAGGGACAAAATCCTTCTCGACGAGCTTGTTCCACGTCGATGGCAAGTTTTGAGAGACTTCTTGAACGAAGTTGTTCCGGCGGCCCCACGCAGGATCGGTCCCTATCTGCACGACATAGAGAGATACAGCATGGACGACAATGTCGCGCTTGTGGATGACCGACAAAAGCATGCAGGGTGTTTCAAGATTGTTGGAAAGCCCTGTAGCGACTGCGTTATTTTTTCAAGATCAGTTCGCATTCCTGAGCTCTGTGTACGATTGCAAGAGAAGGTGCGTTGACCTTACAAATAATGTGAATGCTGGCTCATTCTACGACAGAGAAGGACATACAAGGCTGAAAAGCGGATAATGTACGATCGTCGGCTCGAGAAGAGTGTATCAGCGCGACCATGAGTTTTGACTTTCGCAGATTCATACCTAATCTCACATCTGCGGCAGCTGTAGGTTTGGCAGCAACAGTAGCGGAGCGATCAGCGGTCACCGTCCGAGACTTCTTACATCGGTATCTGAAACGGGAAGTTGTATTCAGCGCAACGACAGTAAGTGTAAGAATATCGTACATTTCATTCACTGACTCCCGAAGACATGGGGCTTCTTCTTCGAGATTCACATACCATATCATGCAATGCGCCGCGGACCACTCGCGGGCACTGAAGATTCAAGATTGATAGGCGGCAAACGCCTCCGCAATACCGAACCTCTACCACTCAGAAATCATTCTAGTGACGGAGAAGATCTTTACTACCACGAAGCGCAAACTTCTTCACTCTCCTGGGGTGCTGATGAGTGGTTCTGGACTGAGTTATGTCTGGTAGACACCTACTTTGGCTCTGAGGAACATTTCAAGACTTACTTTACTGGGTGTCAGGAAGGAGATGGACTCGACCCTCCGTGTGGTGGCAGATTTCCAATGATATCTCCGCGGTTTGACCCGAGGGAGTACTTTCTTCTCAAGCTGAAGTTTCGGACGGAGCAGGCAGTCACAGAGTACAGCGCACTCGTCGAAACCTTCAACAAGAGAATGGACGAATACGTAAGATACTCGGATGTATTCCGAATGACCAATACTAAGCATCATTGAAGGCACAAAGGATCCGACGCGTTTTCGAAGACGACGACGAAAGAACAAACACTAAGACAATAAGCGACGTCATCGAAACTACACAGGTTTTCATTGACAGCATCGGCGGTATAGTGGACGCTTGGGAGACTTTCCATCGCACCGAGCTGTCGCTCTTCACCAGCTACATACCCGAAAGATCGATTTGGCCAACATATATTAGCAGTATCGTGCGAAACGTTGCAGAACTAGACCGACTGCGCAAAATACTCGTTACAAAGCGAGATCGCTTCAAGTTCAAACTCGACAGCGTAAGTTCAATACCACACGCCATGCCGAAGTACGCACACTGGTCTGATAATCCACACTACACAGCTTCACACCGTCTCTAGTCTCAGCCAAACAGAGACAGGAAACCTCCAAGCAAAGACCGCAGTCACCCAAGGCGACGACCTGAAGATGCTCACTAAGATGACTGTTGTAAGCCACCCCATACTGATCCATCGCTCTTACACAGCTTCACCAAGAGCTAATCGTGACCCTCATAGTACGTCGCCTTCCCTTTACTTTTCACAACAGCATTCTTCAGCATGGATTTCGTCACACCTAGGTACCCGTGGGCTGCATTCTTTGGGGTATTGGTGCTGATGTCATTGGTGAACTACATGATTGCATCACCACGGAGCTCTCAGAGAAGGTGGAAAGAGTGTAAGGCCTGGGTCAGTGCCGTAGTAGGCAATTGGACATACAATCGAATATAACACATCACCACGCAAAGTCGCAACATGTTTATACTTTACGATTCGATTCGTTTTATATAGGTATCCACATATGCTGCGTGGTATCCTAAGGGTATCATGAGGGATCTGCCTGCCCAAATATGCACACTTCGAAAGATTTGTAGTGGAAAATAAAAAGGACTCCCCTTCTTTCTTCGAGAGACAGAACTCGCGCGCGCGCGCAGACACACACAAAAAAAAAGACACAAACCCAAAAACGTCCTGGGCGCCCCAATCTGGTTCCTCGTATATATAGGAGAGGTATAGGAATGTCGTGGTCGTCATATCCCAATTCGCTTGATCGATCGATCGCTCGCTCGCTTCACTCCTGCCGCGCATTATGCCAATAAAGAATAGTTTGGTGTGTGTGTGAGTGAGGGTTGGTGTGGAGAAGCATGTTCAGTCGAGCTCAATGTCGCCGTTGCTTTCGTGAACCGATTTTTCCGTTAAACGCCGATTGTGGAGAGAGATCCGTAACCCCGATGCTGCTAAGTTGATATGTGCGAAAGGAAAATCTGACGTCGCTATCGTCGTGCGCCGCCTACTTCGACCGAGTGTGATGTTCGTTCAAATTGGAGCTTTCGTCGCTTGTTCGCCATGTTCCCGCCGGGTGTGTCTTCGCCTCCGGTGGAGTCTGCATAGTCGTCTCCAAAGCCCTCGCCGTAGCCTTGGAATGCGGCATCGGTGTAGCCGCGCTTCGAGCTAGATCGCTCTGGCCTTACTGCACCCCGGTTCATATGGTTGGTCGGTGTTGGTGCGGAGGATGTGAAGGATGTGGCCCGCTGTGGTGGTATTTCTTGTGGTTTGGGTTTTATGGCATCGTCTGTGCCGAGATAGGCCTTGTATTTGGCAGCTTCTGCGTTGGGGAGAGGTCCAGGAGCTGTGCCTGCGAAGGCGTCGTCGAGAAGTCTGCTGAGGTTTGAACTCAATGCTGTGCCGTCTGCTGTCAGCCCCTGCTTCTCGGGCTCTCTGTTCTGCACATGTTGCGACTGCCAAATCTCTTCGGGCATTAGCAGCAGATCCCGGAAAACGCCGTCCATCTTAATCGCTTTTGGCTTGCCGGCGATCTGCATCTGCTTGATATGACCCTCGTAGGACTTGCGAAGCTTGTTAATCTTCTCGCCTGTTACCGGGTCATTGCGGGCTACAGTGCTGGCGAGCGGGTTGAGCCTGTAGAGTGAGATGAAATTTTGCGAGGGTTGCGGCCGTGCTATCTCTATCTTCTCGCTGCTGAGTTTGAACAATTGGCTGCCGCAAATGCCTTGGGCAGCTTTGAGTCGGCCGTCTTCGGTGTATGGCGATTCGGCTTGCCGGTTGTGGTTGGACAGCCTGTGGTGACGCAACCGCGTTATGTCATCGTCTGCGCTCTCTTCCATCGTCGCATCGCCATCGCTGTCGATATTGGCGCTCGACATGAAGCCGGCAGTGCTCGCGGGGGTCGGGAAGGGGTGCTGGTTGGATGCCGATGTTGCCGACTGGGAGAGCGAGGTGGACATGGGCAGGGAGGATTGCGGTGAGCGGTCCGACACGGCGGAGTTTGTCGTGGGGAAGCCTCCATTGGATTGCGAATTCATCGAGTAGGGTGGCGAGGTGGGCGTTCGAGGGTGAATGAGCGTCTTTGTCGTCTGGCCGCTCGCCTTGGCAGCGACGTCAAAGGGCGGGCTGGCGGGTGAGAATCTTCCTATCGAGTCCAAACGTTGCCGTTTCGCGCTGTGATCCGACATAGAGGCCGTCTTCGGGGGTGGAGCGAGAGGGGAGAGCTCGTCGGCGTGCGTGGAGCGTGCAGCGGTGGGTGAGAGGAGGGCTCGTACTGAAGCGCTTGGCGTCCTCCGCGCGGGTCGACCGCGGCAGCAAGGTGGGCGCGCTACTCGATGGTGCGCATGCGAAGAGAGCGGACGGCGGCGCTGGCGACGATGGGCTGCGGGCGATGGGGCGGGGCGTGGGCGTGGCGGGATGCGCAGGAGGGTTGTGGGCGGCTGAGGGTGCGAAGATGTGAAGGAGATGATGGGGTTGACCGGCGGTTTGGGCTCAGCGCTGTCTCGACTGCTCACGTGACGTGCCGGGGCCCATGGTCCGCCATCTAAAACCGCCTTTCGTGTTAGGGCGTGTCAACCATTCATCGACGCTGCAACAACAAGACAACAAGACAACAAAGGCTCGCCCGCTCTTCAATGCCTGCACCGCCATTCTTTGGCCGGTATGGATGACAACAGGCCGCGCGCCGGTGCCTCTGCTGCGGCCGCCTCACCTGGTGCAGCGCCGACTGCGCGCCCCGAGGCATCGAATCCACCCGCGCCGAGCAATGCGCCCAAGATCCAGCAGCCGAAACCCCAAGCTCTGCCATCGCGATCCGGCCCCAGCGCCATCCTGGTCTCGCCGCGACAGAAAGGCAACCCCATCCTCAACAGCGTGCGCTCCGTCGCATGGGAGTACTCTGACATTCCCGCCGACTATGTCGTCGGTGCCACAACATGTGCGCTCTTCCTGTCACTCAAGTACCACCGTCTGCATCCGGAGTATATCTACAACCGCATCCGAGACTTGAAGGGCCAGTACAGCCTGCGCATCCTCCTTACCATGGTCGACATTGAAAACCACGAAGATCCATTGAGGGAGCTATCCAAGACGTCACTAGTCAACAACGTCACAGTCATGCTGTGTTGGAGCGCACCGGAAGCCGGTCGCTATCTGGAACTTTTCAAGACATTCGAGAACGCTGCACCGACCAGCATTCGCGCTCAGCAAGCAGGCACTTATTCAGAGAAGATGGTCGAATTCATCACCGTACCACGCAGCATCAACAAGACAGATGCAGTAGGCTTAGTCTCTAATTTTGGAAGCATCCGCACTGCAATCAACGCTGGGCCTGAGGAAATTGGCCTAATAGCAGGGTGGGGTGACAAGAAGGTTCAACGATGGTGCAACGCCGTCAGGGAGCCCTTTCGGGTCAAGAAGGCAGCGCGACGAACCGTCGGTCAAGACAGCGGTGCAGCGACCATGTCACGCGACATCTCCATGGCAGAAGGCGAAAGCCAGATGCCGCCGACAGCGGATGCTGATGATACAGCACATCGCAGGGTGGACGATGCCGGGCCTCTTGCACTGGAGCTGGAGAGATCCGCTCCTTTTGCAACTTCAGGGTCGGATGCAGACAAACGACCCGATCATCGCATCGCTGAACATCTCAACCAGGACGATGAAGAAGCAATGCGTGAGGCAGAGTTGGGTGCAGTCCCACGAGGCAATGAGACTCAACCCACTGCTCCAAAACCAGTGAAGCGGAAGCAGGCAGAAGAGGAAAACATGAGCGAGGGCGTCATGGCTGCACTCAGCAAGTTGAGGAAACAATGAACAATGTTCTACGACACTTTCGAAAATGCGACATGTGACTTTGCCCAATTGATGGGCAACAATCAATCCCTGACGTTCACTTTTAAAAGTCCGCTGTGATCAATACAGCATCGTTTGCAATGGCTATCGCGAACAAATTCCATGTGCAGCATGCCGTCATGCGCCCTCTCATTGGTGACCCCACTCTGGTCCTCGCCCTGCAGCTGCAGCCTAGCCTGCCCACATGCACCTACTTCACTCGGTAGCAAACACATTCAGCCTTACTCCTTCAGCCCAACCACCATTCCTTTAGACACATCGATAGACCTGCTTCTCATTGTGAGCACGTCAAGTTCAGCCATACACATCGAGACTCTTTTAGCAGCCAAATACTACCAGTCACTATCGCCCAAGATGGGCAATTTCACGCAGTTGCCAGCCGAACTCCAGATCCAGATCTTCGACTACCTCCACGCTCCCGACGTCAAATCCGCGAGAGCTGTGAGTAGAACGTTCCGAAACAATGCTACGCCTGCGCTCTTCCGCAGTATCGTTGCTTGTGCAAGATACCAAGCGCTGGGCGCCTTCCAAAACGTAAGTTCATACCGAGCCCTGGACGTACCTGCACTATCTCTCGTAATGAGGAAGTCAATGTTAAGCCCCATGAATACCTCAATACCACGGTCTGGTATCAAGTAGGTAGAGCGTCGGCATATTTACTAATGACACGAACAGGTATCACTACACTCGATATACTCAGGCTATGTAAGAGAGATCATCTTCGATGGAACACTGTACGATGGGCATCTCGCGAAAGACCATCGCAACTATTCTCGAGCCGAAGAAGTTAGCGGCAAATTCCAATCAGGATCCTTCTACGCAATGAGAACCAGGTGGAAGAGATACCAAGAGCTACACAAGGAGCAAGAGAGTATGAAGGAGGATGGCGTCTTGTTACAATCATGCGCACGAGGCCTTGAGAATATGCAGAATATCTCGTCCATCGTTTACTCGCCATATCAACACACCATCCCTATGGAGGTCAAGGCACTGCGCGATCTACTTCCAAGAGGAGCTCTTCCGGGCGCGCTCACCGACAACCGCACCACTGACTCGGATCATCCGTTCCGCCAACTTATTGGTGCCGTTTTTTTGTCGAATTACACTGGAATCCGACAGCTCACAATCGAAGCACCTCGCGAAGACCATCGTCGCACTGAGTTCTCTTTGAATATGTTCACTTTCCCAGATACCAACGATCTGAGCGCCGGGAGACATCTCTTCCGAAATTTGGTTAAGCTAGACATAAGCTTATCTGTCCTCAACATACCGAGTCAGACAACGCCTCCTACGGCTGAGATTGACTCCCCTGAACGACAGCTCGAGAACCTGACCAAAGTCCTTGAGGCTGCCCAGGAGCTGCGGCACCTCTCCTTTGGCATACTGAACTGGAGGTATCTTAACGAGCACCCAGAAGGAAAATCCATCGCCGACTTTATCGGTCTTGGAGCAACATGGCCGAAGCTCCGCTCATTGAAGCTCGAAGGCATATACGCCAGAGAGCGCGATCTGTGTGAACTGATCGACCGACACAAGGACACCCTCAGAACTCTCACCTTCGCCAGAAGCACTCTGCACGCAGGTCTATGGATCGAAGTCGTGAACGAGGTTGTTTTCAATGCGTCTATGATCACAACATTCGTGTTGGACCAAGTCGATGAGAATCACGGCGGATATGGAACCAGCACCAACGGGAGTTTGGAAGGATATGAAGGTCGGTTGATCGTAACCGAAGGTGGAGAACGCGAATTTGTACGCAGCAACCCGATCTTTGGTCTTTATTTCGTCCTGCTAATCATGTTAATGTATAGGTCAACACCAACCCAGACAAGCTCTCTGTTCACGACGCCCGCGACAACCCAGCAAACCCAGCATGATCCACTAGTCCATTACCTCGCTACCCATTTTACCGCACACCATTGACTTGGTATTGGCGATTGCTCAGACATCCTTTCATCGTTGGTAGCATGAATCAGGCATTAGCTAATAGTCATACATTGTTCTGCTGGCTACATACATCCGTATCCGCATTCTTTTGCTCATTCAATGTGATGTAGGCCGCAAATCTTGAGTCTGGTCCTTACGACGATACGAGAGCCTAGTACCAGAGAGCCGTTGCTCGGCTGCCCTATATGCAGGACTGCCAACCTGTGCTCTAGACGCCATCACGACCTTTTTCCAACTGTTTACCCATTCAGGATATTTGTCCGAGCCTGTCTGTGACATTTCATCATCGTCTTCGTCATTCTGCCCTCTCGTGCACTCTTTTGGGACATCGCCTTCTTGCTCCTCTATCTTCCCCTGCGCCCCCAGGCAACTAGAACATGAACCTTCCGAGTCCTGCTCTACCGCCCTCTCCTTCCCCTTCCAGACCTTCTCCTTTACTGTTTCGGCAGAATCTGTCTCAGAGTCTGTCTCCGTTCCGTTGGTGCCATTTCGCATCTCCGCTTCCTCGTGTATCTCCATCTCTTCCCCATCCTCCACATCCACCTTCTCCTCCTCACCGCTCTCCTCTTTCTCTTCCCTATCGCCCACATCCACCTTCTCTTCCTCACCACCCTCTTCCCCACCACTCTCCTCCTTCTCCCCAGCTCCCCCTCTCCCTCCCTCCTTCCTCTCCCCCTCCGCATGCCCCTCCCCCAACCCACCAATCCACTCCGCCGTCCTCACCCTCCTCAACTTCCTCAACCTCGTCCTCTCCGCATAATCAATAATCTCACCTCCATCCCAGCTATAATCTATCCTGCCAACCTCGGCCTGACTGTCTGCTACCCGTCGCTCTTGCCATTCTACCCACCCGTTACTTCCGGGTGCACAGTAACTGCGCACGTCGTCGTCGCGGTGGTGGATGCGTGCGGCGACTGGTTGCCAGGATGTGGGGTGTTGGCGGTGGGGGAGTTGGGAGATTGGGACCGGTGGGCGTGCGGGGGTTGTGGTGGTTGCGGTGGTTGTGATGGTTGGGTTTGGGGCCTGAGTTGGTGGTGCAGGGGCGGGGGCAGAGGTAGTTTGCTCAGTTTGAGGCTGGGCTGTGGATTGATCTGAGGTGGTTGGGTTTGGAGATGTTGTACGTGGTGGTGGATTGCTTGTGGAGGGGTTTGGTGGCGCAGCGAGGGGGGCTGGGGAAGATGGTATAGATGCTAGACTTTGAGAGAGGATGGATGTGTTGGCTCTTTGAAGGGAAGGTCTAGCTGCGTCGGCGGCTCCTCGTGGGCTTGACATTTTGGTTTATATGAAGGGTTGAAAGCTTAATGTCGTGACGTTGGGGAAGAGAAGAGAGACTTTCTGGGGAGCCATATTGAATACTGCGCAAAAGGCTATGTCAAGTCGGACCATGGTAGCAGAGAAATCTCCTAGAGAAACATGTGACGTTTAATTCATAAGGCAACCCTGGTGTTGGTGGGCTGGAAGATTTAGCATTAAACCTTGGTACGCTATCGCAGTACCATGTACTATATGACTCCCCCAGCATAAGGACCAACCGCATAATAAACAACAGTCATCAATCGTCAATTCAAGCCCTCTCGACCCTCTCGGTAGCACCCTTGGCGTCATTGTCCACAACAACACTGTGGTGCCTTGCCGGGTCCTTCTCCTCAATGGCCGCGCCTTCAACAACATGGTTCTGACCACCGAAGATGGCGTCCATCTCCTCGAGACTAACCTTCTTAGTCTCGGGAACGAAGAACCAGACAAATGCGGCTAGCAACATGTTGATGGCGGCGAACATGTAGAAAGCGTAGAAGCCCTCGTTCTTGAGGAAGACGGGGAAGAACTGCTGGACGATGGAGTTTACGACGTTTTGGGTTTGCGAGCACATGCCCACGGCTTGCGCACGGATGTTCATGGAGAAAATCTCGGCGGTGAAGATCCATACTGTTGCGCCCCAGGAGGGTTTGTCTGTGGTGGTTGTTAGTGTGTGTTCGTGTTGAGATGGTACTGAGAGGAGATGACTTACAGAAGAGAGCGAACAGGAACATGAGGAACACGATCGCGATACCAACTGGTTCCGACTTTGCTCCGCTGGGCAGGGTAGGTGTCTGTGTCTCCACAGTAGCAGCGATAAGCATGCAAATACCCATACCGATACCACCGACGATGAACAGGAATTTGCGTCCAAAGCGGTCGACAGTCCAGGTAGCGTTGAGCGTGAAGATGATGCTGAAAGTAGCGTTCAAGGCGTTGATCAGGGAGATGGTGTCGGCGCTCGTGAAGACCTTCTTGTAGATGATGGAGCTGTAAGAGTTGAGTGTGCCCTGTCCAGTGATCTGCTGACCACCGTTGACAATCATCGCAATGTACATGCGCTTCCTGACAGACTTGTCCTTCCACAGAGCAGAGAAGCCGGAGGAGATTGCTTCGGCTTCGAATTCGATAGCCTCGCGGATAGTGGTGATCTCATCCTCGACATCCTGCTCGGTGGCACGGACGCGGCGGAGCGAGCGGCGAGCCTTTTCGTAGTTGCGGTTCTTCTGAACGTACCAACGGGGCGACTCAGGGATAAAGAAGACCTGGGAGAGGATGAGAATGGGTACCATCATCTGGAAGATAACAACCATCTTCCAGTCCCACTCGCCAAGTTTCTCGGGGTTCTTGGATGTGCCGAAGGAGATCCAGTATGCGATGAAGGAGCCAACGGAATAGAACATCTGCCAGAATGACATGATCTTTCCACGGATCTCAGGGGGCGAAAGCTCTCCAATGTAGATAGATCCAGCTGTCAATGCGAGACCTTGTCCGATACCGATGAGGACACGACCAGCAATGAAGACACCGATTTGTCCGCGGGGGGCGAATGTTTGCATGATGGTCGCGATGATGACGCATACAGATCCAGCAGCCATACCAACTCGACGGCCAGCAAAATCAGCGAGGGGTCCAGCCTATACACAGCAAAGTTAGTACACGTCTTGCGTACTGATGATATACAGACGTGACGTACCATGAAGAAACCAGCTACGACAGCACCGACTGTGTATGATGTGTTGATGGCGCCGATTATGTTAGGTCCGGGGTTGTTGTAGTAGGCAATCCAATGCTTCGAGTTTTGCAACGCGTTGAAGACGGACGCATCGTAACCGTAGAGCACCATGCATGATGCTGCAACGAGCGAGATGTACCAGTTGTACACCCTAGTCTTGTCGACCATCTTGACGGTAGTCACTCAGGATTTCTCCCAAAACGAAAGTAACAATAGCGCTCGACTTGGTAGCGATTGACAAAGGCGTCCAGCTCGAATTCCGCAACGGATACAGCGAGAGATTCGTAGAGCTCTGGAGTGGAGAGCAATCAGCGGAGACTGCGATGGGCATATATACATGCCACATGAGAAGCCACCCTGTGGATTACTATCTTGCCCCATGTCAACCCCATGGGCTCGGGGAAGCGCCAGTTCCAGCACCCAGGATCCGATGCCTACGCCGCTACCAGACGCCTCTATCCAGAATATCACCACGAATCAACATGCCCAGACCGCCTCCAAAGCTTGCTCTAGTGCCAAATGCATCCACGCCTAGCACTCCGTTCTCCGTAGTCCCTGAATCTGGGGAATCTGGGGCTTGGGACGGGAGTGTCAATGGAGAGATTTTGTCCATCTGATGGACGGAGAGGCGTCGTGGAGTTTTTCCACGAATGGGCGTAATAGAGCCAAGTGTTGAGGCGCCGTTGTTTTGAGGAGAAGCGAGACCGACTCATGCCGAGATGGTGTTTAGTGCGCCATCTAGCCCGTGAGTAGCTAGGTTTGCCGGCGACAATGTCGATAATGGGTAGAATTTCCTCGTGGACGCAAGCATGCCAAGTCAGAGACAAGGGAGACGCAGCGAAGCAAAGCTTTTGGCTGCCGCCTGGGCTCTCTTATTTTGCGATTTATTGATGCTTAAAACTGCGAGAGTGGTTCTCGAGAAGTAAATGTGTGGCGCCGGTGCCACAGTCGAGTCGTAGAGAGAGAGTGTCGGATCATTGTAGACGACTTCATGTTGTGAACGGAGAGTAGGTATCACATGAATCATGCTAGAGAACATCGCTTGATAGCCAGCTGTGGAGTTCGGGTGGGTCGGCACATTGGTTGCGGGCGGTGACCATCATATCGCATCCTCCAGAGATGGGCACGCGGGGAGCCAACAAACGAACGAGCCTAAGCCAATATGCCCCTAAGATGTTCTCGGGCAACACCACGCGACGCGCATGTGTTTTCGGTGATGAACTGTTACAGGTGCATACGACATGCCGCGGTATCCCGGGTCGCTAGATGAGCCTCATCAGCGCTGAGTTGAGCTCCAGCTTCCCCAGCTCTGGGACCAACACGTGATTGATCACGTGTGCCCATCCGCCACAGCTCTGTGGCTGTGCGCATCCCACTTTTTCGGGCGTCGAGACCCTTTCCCACCGCCCGCGACCGCCTAACGTTTTCGACGCCCGACCAAATCTCTCCACCCTCCCACCTACACACCGAAGACCGGATTACCAGGCCAACCGATTTTTTCAAGATGCCTTCAGGACAAGGAGGTGAGCGCCCTAACTTTTGCGCAAACTGAAGCGGGGTCAAGGCTGACAGAATACCACAGCCGGTACAAACCCCATCCACAACAAGCAGAAGAAGAAGAAGGCCGTCGAGCTCGACGAGGATGACCTCGCCTACAAGCAAAAGCTCGCTGCTGGTGCGTAACGCCCTAGATCCCATTCTCCGACGCCTATACTACGATCGGCCCCGAAGCGCCACCACAAGGCTCCGAAGAACAAGGACAGACGTGCTGACAATATACAGAGAAGAAGCAGCGTGAGGACCTAGCCAAGACGGTCGGCAAGGGCAAGGGACCGCTCAACACCGGCTCCCAGGGCATCAAGAAGTCCGGCAAGAAATAAGCGCCCGACATACCCACGAGCGAGCGAGCAAGCGAAGAGGCACGGCAATGCGGCAACGACGACGATTTGACATGAAAGATACCACAGGCTGAGAGTCATGACTTGGCAGGGCGTTCATATACACATATCATGAATGCACAGGAATGAGCTATCAATGACCTTTGCGCATGCCAGGTGACTGTTTTCTACGTCTTCGCTACTTGCAATTTAGGTCGTCCCAGTCTCCAGATACAGACTACCTCCTCCCTGCCTTCATGTTTGCCCCCTTCAAATTAAACACCGTTTCTGCGTTCCCCCACGCCACCCTATCCCACTCTACCTGCGTCAAGAATCCGCTCTCCCTGAGTTCCTCCATCAACTCTTTCCCTCTTTCTTCAAGCGGGTAGTTACTCGCATACAACACCCTATCTACGGGTATGCGTTCCAGTAGCGCTCTCAGACTCGACATGTCTTGTGCGTCCACTGTTGTGAGGTAGATGTTGTGTTGCCAGACATCTAGGAAACTTCGCTTTGGTTTATCTGCAGAGGGGATAGTGGTGAGGAGCATCTCGATTCGTGGAATGAGCGAGGGTAGCGCGCCCGGATGCGCGAGTATGAGACGGAGAGCAGGGTGGCGGTCGAAGACGCAGCTGAGGTAGAGGTGTAACAGCGGGAGAGGAGACGTAGTTTGCGACGAATGGATATGTGTCAGGAGAGGCGCGTATACCGAAGAAGGGAAACTGTGTTGGTAATCCGGTATCTGCGCATGTCAGTCTACATGCTTCCTCTTCCTCTTGATATCTGAAGAACGAAAAAGCAGCATACCTCCGATCCCACCGGCCACATCTCCCGCAACAGAATCGGCACTCGATACCTCTCTGCCACATCCCAAAGGTCCTCCCACTCCACCTCTTCTAACTTGATATTCTGACTCATCCCAATGCAACCACCCACAAACTTCATCTTACCCACACACCTCGCCAGCTCTTTAGCCGCCTCCTTGCCCTCTGAAGGCAACATGCTCAGCGCAGCGACTTTCTCCCCGTTCATTATGACCGCCGAATGCATCGTGTCGTTGATCTTGCTGCAAATTGGTGGTGCGGCGGCGATGGGGATGTGGCTGATGATTTGTTTCGAGTGGCCGAGAGTGCGCATGTCTTTCACGCGGCCGGGACCTATGTTGCGTAGCTTGGTGAGGGTAGCCGGGGGGATTAGATGGAGGGACGGCTGACTGGGTGATGTTGGTGGGGATGTGAAGACCAAGGTGGGTGCGAGGTGGGATTCTAGGGACGCGATTAAGGAGGCGGCTGTTGTTGTGGTCATGGCGGCTTGAGGTCTGCTTGGTGATAGGTCGTCAGGAGGAGGAGGAGGTGGGTAGTAAT